TGCTGAACTTTGAGTAAAGCAGATTACTGTCCATAATGTGGGTGGACCTCATCCAATCAGTTGAAAGCCTTAATAAAACAAAGGCTGACCTCCTCTAAGCAAGAAAAAATTCTGCCAACAGATGGCCTTTGGACTTGAATTGCAGCAGCTCCCTGGGTCTCCAGACTGCCAGCCCACCCTGTAGATTCTGGATTACGAAGCCTCCACAATTGCTTGCGCCAATTCCTTAAAATAAATCTCTCTATATTTATGTATATATAATACGTATCCAGTTGGTTCTGTTTCCCCAGACTCTAATACACACTTCTTTACATTAGTGTGCCCCTGGTCAAATTGCTTTGGTTTCAATCTCTTGCTTGGACCATGACAAATAGACCACTGTCCTCTCCTGAACTCCCAATCCACATGTGCAACTGCCTACTCAGCAACCCTAGTTGGATGTCTAACACACATTCCAAACTTATGTCCAAAAGTAAGCTCTTGATGTTCCTCCTACAAACTTATTTCTCCTACACGTTTCCCAATCTCAGTTAAAGGCAACTTAATTTTCAGTGAGACCTTTCCTAGCTAACCCATTTACAACTGCAGTCCAGCTCCAAGCAGCCCCAACTTACCTTCAATCCCTCTTCTTTGCTTGTTATATTCTTATTATCTAAGTATTAGATGTATTACTTATCATGTTTATTGTGTAACTCCTCAACTAGAATATGAATTCCATGAGAGCAGGTATTTTTTTATTTGTATGTTCAAACTGCTGTCTGCCCATAATCTAAAGCAATGCTTAACATATAGTGGATAATCAATGAATCTTTGCCTTCTGTTTTCAATATGGACTACAATGCTAGTTATTTTTGAGTGTCTTGTTTAAGAAATCTTTCCTTTTCCCAAGTTCATACATATATTCTATACTTTCTCCTAAAAATTGTTTTGCATTTTAAATTTAGGTTGTTAAACCACCAAGAATTGATTTTTCTGTATGGTGTGAGGTAGGGTTTGATTTTGTTTTTTTTTTTTTTTTACCCCTTCTGGATAACAGTAGGCTGTATTTTTACTACATAATGGTTTTTGTTTTCTCTCTCTACTTTCTGAATTTCCTTCATCTGTTAAATACTCAATATTAAGGTTCTATAATAATGAAGCAAAACAAAGTATCAACCCCACAGTTTTATTTGTAAAGAACAAAGCATGAAAAGTCATATTTAAATGTACTCCAAAACGTGAAAAACCCACGTCAATTTCTCTGATATGTATGCTAAAGTGCTTGATATCACAATACTCTTTAAATTTTATATTATGTTCAGATGAGAAAAAAAATCCAGTTCTGATGCATTTTGTTAACAATACAAAGAAAAACAACATAATTTAAACGCAGAAATGCTATTAGTTAAAAAGATATACAGGGTACATTTATACATGGTTCAAGTGTAACAAAAGAGAATTCTTTCTATATGTTTAACACCTTCATTTGATAGACAACAGGAATTCCTTACCATATCTCTCTACTGTTAACAAGATTTGGTGTTTGGAATTAAGACTGGACCCACATACAGATACATTCAGGTAACTGGATCAAGAATGATTCCTTCCCATATAACCCAAGGATACCCTGGATTTCTTCAAATGAAAAGAAATTTTTTGATGATTTTTTCATTCTGGTATTAATTGCTCAGTGTCAAACCTTTCTGGAGCCAATCTTTATTTTGTCCTTGAGAAGATGATCAGCTTTAGTAAAATCTGAAAGGATGAGGTTCTCCTAGGATTTTTTTTATCACATTCCATTGACACCCTCCTCAAAAAGCTTGGACATCAGTTTGATTGAAGAGATTCATAAATGTATTTTAATAGGAATAAAGGACCTAGTAGTTTATTATTCGTTTCTGTTTCCTTTTAAGCTGAATGGTAGTATGACAAATACTTACATAAGAAACAGGACTTCCAAAGACAGAGATGAATTGAAAATAGGATTCACTTTATAAAAGTAGAGAACAGCTCAAGACTCCATTCTCAATCAAAGAAGGTGTGTAATACTGAAATATAAATAGCTAAGGTTCAGATTGTCCTTTCAACATGGTGAAAAGGGTAGACTTAGTTTCTGTAAACCTCACAGAGAAAATACTCACAGTTCTCAAAATAAAAATCTTCTGAAAAATCATAATTCTTAGCAGAAAGAAGAAATTTCATTAAGAGATACACTCTCAATGCTGTCAAATAAATATTTCCCTGGGGATCTGAGGTCCTCGTCTGTTGCCTCATGGTTTAAAATATCTCAGAGGTGTCAACTTGTACCACACACAAACTGTTATGTATAGTCTCTACCCTTCTTTCACTTACATTTACATACAACAGTGCTTTATTGCCAAAAAAGGAAATATAAGCAATTCAGTATTTCCCCTATATCACTCATACAGTGTGACAGAAGTCCATTAAAATTATTTTTCAAAAAGCCACGTTAAAGTAAATACCACAAGGTTACAAAAGGTACAAAAATGTGTGAAACATTTAAAATAAATTTTAGAGGGAAATTGCAAACTTTAAGTGACTTACACCGAATTCTTGCCCCGAGTGGGAAAGTGGACGGAGCAGGCGGGGCGGCCTTCCTTTTGTTCTCGGCAGTCTGTTTTCCTGCACCTCGCACCTCAATTCATGCTATTCCACAACGAGCCTCAGTCAGTTTTAAGGCACTGATGAGCCTCGACCAGGCACAGCTCTAGGGTCTCATGGAATACCAACACTGGTGTAATGCCACTTGTCACAAAGGTGAGATTAGGAGTTTTGGGATATTTGAAAAACACTTGGAAAAAAACTGTTTCAAGAGGTAATGTTTTTGGCAATTTAATTTTAAAACAATTTCTTTTTAAACGATTATTATGTAAAAATACTAGTTACGGTTCCAGGCATTACTTTTAACTTAATTTGAAAAAAAAAAGTTAATTACAAAATTTGATTTTTATTTACTTTAGCTTTGAGGTGTGATTATAAAGCAATGTACTAATTTGAAAAGTTAACATAGCAGAAAGGATACTTCTAAATGGGTATGGTCCTTCCACAAGTCAGCGTGGAAGCCTGTGTACATTTATTCTAAGGATTCTGCTATTGTCCTGCTCAAAATATTTTGGTATCGGCTTAGAGACAGTTATAAGCCACGTAAGTCTTACTTGTTAACAATTGCTTACTTTTTAACAAGTTTCTTATGTGATCCCAAAACTCTTCTTTAGCACCCTTTGTATTCATCAACGTGGATCCTAAGGACTTTTTATTGTTTCCAAATATTAAATTTCCTTTTTTAAATTTTTTTGGCTGAGCCATCCTGCCACCTATTGGCAGCTTAACGGCAGCTCAGCTTGGGCCGGAACTTGAACCGCTGTTGCTCAGAGCTCACACTCTTGAGCAAGCTCTTAACCAACGGAGCCACTCGGCTGGCACTTAAATTTCTTCTTAAAGGCCAAGATTCACCATCACTGGCAATACTGAAAACCGTGGGCGGGAAGCCTGTGGAGCAGCTCACAGGGAGGTCCCCAGCGTTTGGAGCACTGGCTGGATCCCTGGAATAAGTACATGGGCTCCCAAGGTGACAACTTTAAAGGGCCTGGTATTGTACAGGGTGTGTCAGTTCGATGTGATTCTTTTGAAATCGGTCACTTCACTGTTACAGTCACACTACACAAAGTGGAATGAAACTCTTGTTTTGGGTATTACCTTCTAAAGTGATGGTTTTATTCACAGGCTCCAAACCCAATTTTCTCCAAGTTTTTACAATAGATGTTAATTCTGAACGACTTGAGAACAATGTTAAAATGAATATTAATCCTTACAAATGATTATTCTACATGAATATTAATCCTTATTTCCTATCTGTATAGGTGAATGAATAAAGATCCAAGGGTGGAAAGACTATCAATATTGAACGCCTTGGAGATCAATCTCATGCAGTCTGGTGTAATAAAAAACATTAATTGTAGACCCTGTGTTGTCACTGACCAGCTGTGGGAGTAAGTATTTAATCTCCTTAATCCTTAAGTGTTCCCATCTATAGAACAAGAAGGTGGGACTAGATGACTCAATTCGGGCGTGCTAACCTAAGTCAACTCTCAGGTTGCCCAGTGTGTCGGAAACATGGCCTTGTGGAAAAGGTAAGAACAAAAGCCTGGACTGGACCCGCTTACTGTTTCTGGTCACTGAAACACAGTAAGAGCCGGGTGGGACAAGCTCTGGATGTCTCTCTCCCTTAGTAGACTTTCCATGTCCCCGCACAGCCACACCACTAGGACACACCTTATTGATTAGCCTCACGCAAACAAATCTCCGGTCCCCCAAGTCGCCCAGAACCACCTTCTTAAACCCTTTCCGTGGGTTTCTAACAACTTTAACTCCTCCCGACCTACTTTCTCCAGTACTAAGTCCCTATCGGAAGGGGGCGTGCCTTGGCTGAATACAGTGTTTGTAAAGGGAGCGAGGCACTTGTTTCATTAGTTTCTTCCTCTAGGAAATAAGGGAAACCACTGTTGGCTAAAGCCCAGGACCCTCAGATTGCACAAGGGTCCTGGGAGGCCATGGCTTTGCTTCTCAGCCACAAGTGGGAATAAAACTCGGAGCTCTGCTGAGGCAATTTCACTGCTAACAATGTGCAAATGCCTAATTAGAGGTACAGGACCTACCACAAGATGAAGACTTAAGGTAACTAACTAGCTAACCCACATTTATTTAACGTCCTCATGAAATACCAAACTGGAAAGTTGCTCACAACAACTGGTTTTGTAAGACTGTTGCCTCTTCTTTTGCTTCCACTCTGCCGGGCTGTGCTGTCCCAGCTTTCACCTTCTCTGGGCGAGTTGTTTTACATTATTGCCCCTTCTTACAAAGGAACATAAAGCTTGCCCCGAACACCAAGAAGGTTCATTCTCTCTCTCTTTCTGTTATTTGCATTATCATGGTCAACAAATACTTTCACAAAAACATTCCAAACCACACAGAGCCCTCCTCCTTCTTAGACATTCCTTCCATTTCCTGAGAGGGGGATGGGCACGGGGAGAGGGGAGGGGTGACTGGAACCAAACAAAGACAGAGTTTATGGTTATCCTTACGAGGTAAGGGACCTCTGCAGGGTTTAGATGGCCAAATAAAAAGTACAGAATCGAACTGCTGTTTGCAGTTGTTATGACTGTGAGGCGAATGCTTTGAAATTCACATCTGCCCAAAGTACCTCAAATAACAAGAATAAAAATGCCAAGAATGAAGTTAGTCTAAGCTAATCTTTCCAAAGTGTAAAGAAGTATAATCCCACAATTTAACACACTTCTCAGGGCTTTGTGTGTTCCCTTTCCAGTTCAGCCAAGCTCCTGGGGTTCAGTATTTAAAGTATTTGAATTATATCTTCATCTTGTGCTAACAAAAAAATTTCCTAATAGGCTGGAGAAGTGACTCAATTCATATGTATGAAACCATTTGTAACTTAAAAAATACAAGTGAGGACTACCCCATACAGTAGGTAAAGCTGTTTACATTCACAATACAAAGGATCAGACACCTGGATAGATGGATACGACTTAACAATGCACTCTGGGTTCCTTTGTGATACCTGGAGGAAATAAAAAGCCCCACTGGGTTGCACTATATTTACATGTTTACTGGCTTCTTCCTGACTAGCACCACTCATCCCCCCAACTCCCAATGCTTTGAAGCTACACATTTTTAAGTCACAGGAATATTCAATCTAAGAAAAGTATCTTATTAGAGTAATATAATTTCTTAAACAAGATAGCATATTTACACACATCTAACACATGAAAATACTCTATTTTATACTAAATTCCTGGTTCAAATGAACTACAATACAGCATTTTACCTTGTCTGTGGCGTGACGATTGTTCAAACTGGGGGATACAGTGTCTTGCCCCCAGTGACTCACTACCTTGTCAGACAAGTCCAGATCGGTCCCGTGGACGGGGAAGGTTCAGAAGCGAGGGGTCTGGATTGAGAGTTTCCAGCCAGTTGGGTTACACATCCACTCCTTTGATGAGCGAGCCTTCTAAGACTATGGTGAAGTCCTGGATGGTCTGCAGGATGCGGATGAGGGAGTTGACGGTCATGTGGTCCCTCAGGAGGGCGCTCTCCTCATACATTCGGGTAATGGCAGGGCACTCGGCTAATAACGGGATCCACTGTGGAAGCAGGCGGTCCCTACAGACCCAAACAGAAACAGGTCCTGAGCACAGATTTCGCTGCAGAACAAGGCTCATATGGGAGCTTCCAGCAGGAAGGCAGGTGTGGGGCTGGATGGGGCAAAATCTAGCTAAGCTCTGAGGTCAGCAGAGAGGAAACCAAACGCAAGAAGCTGAATATTTCCTGGTCAAAAAGATACAGTGATGAGGCAGTGGAAGCTAATGGGAAACCCCATCAGTTTCTAAAAGAAGGTCTGGACAGGTTGGCCGTAAGGACTTCTGCACATTAAAGAAATTATTCTGATTTTATACTTTTAAAAAGAGGCAGAATGTCATTTTGTATTTCCTTTTTACAGGGGTGTTGCTCAGACATGTGTAGTAAGACATGCCAAAGTACACTAACCTTTTGGGAAGAAAGGCTACATTACATAGTAGTGACTAGCCTTTTAAATTTTTTTTTATTTACACAACATAATAAAGTAGGGAACAAATCAAAGCAGAAGAATATTAAGCAGATTTTATAAACCAAAAGAGGGGTTGCATTGATCTATAAATCAGAACTGAAAAAAGAGGTAAAAGGAGATAAGGATCGTGTTCAAAAGGAACTTGAAAAGCACAGCTGAAACTGGGCCCCTTTTATGAAAAAATTCAGAACTTAGTTCTGTAAACCAGTTGGTTCAGGACAGAATCTGTTTTCCGTGTGTCCTGATTAAACACTGACAGTAATTATCTGTCTCTAAGTACCTATGACACCCTGACTGAACATCTTTCAGTGTGCCTTTCACAACAAGGACAGCGTCTCTAGGCCACCCTGCACCTCTGTTTGGGGCCTCCACAGGCTTAGAGGAAAACAAACTTGCACAAAAAAATCTTCTAAAGGTTTGTGTGTTTCCTTTCTTACAATTCTTAGAGGTGTTAAAAATTAATGGATTATACAGCTCCTATGTGTCATTTTCAAAAAGTAAAGGGGTAGGAAATTGTCTTAAAGAGAGGATTTTATATAGTAAAAATTCCATAATGTTATTAAATTTAATATGGTGGTGTATATACACCATACAAGCACTGCATAGTAAAAATATGTGTGTGTATGTGTTGGTGTGTCTGATTATCTACCAGCCTACCTGTTATCTATCTATCTACCTACCTACCTACCTATCTTTGGGACCAGGACAGTGTAATGGTTGAGAGCCTGGACTCGGCAGTGAGACTGGGTGTGAATCTTGGGTGCAACTCATTCTAGCTGTGTAACCTTGGGAAAATCTGTTAACTTCTCTGTGCCTCATCTATTTTCTATTTTCTCATCTATACAGCGGGAATATCAGTTGCTACTTAATGCAGTGGTGGTGGTGAACAATAGGAGGATTAGATGAGATAATGTACATAAAGTTTTTAGCACATTGCCTTATCCAACACACACCAAGTACCCAATAAACAGTAGTCTCATAAGGAAACTTGGAATGAAAGAAACCCATGGGAGAGCTTTGGAAGGGGAATAATCTGGTTTTAACACTTTCTGGACTCTTGGTCAACATGTAGCAAAGATAGGGCAAGTCAAGAACTGGCTTTATAGGGGCCGGTCAAGTGGTGCGTCAGTTAAGAGTTGGCTTGTGACGCCAGCTCTGAGCAGCAGGGCACTGGTTCGGATCCCACATGAGGGCCAGTGACACTGCCCTCTACAGCTAAGATGGTGAGTAACAGCTCAACCTGGAGCTGGGCTGCTGTGCATCGCCGGCGACGACGTAGGCTGCAGTGGAGCTGCAGTGGGCTGCCACAAGCTACCGCAAATGGCTGGCAGCCAGCATGAGCTGCCAAGAGCCACCGTGAGCGGCCGTCCAGAGGCCAGCGACTGATCTGCCTCACCCGGGAAGAGCGCAATGATAATACTAACATGGGCCAGTGAAGAGACATCCTCCACAACTAGACTGAATAACAAAAGGACAGCAACTTGTCTGTTCCCCTTCCCTGATTCCCCAATGCTGTTCCCCTCCCCCAAGTCCCCAATAAAATCTTAAAAAAAAAAAAAGAACTGGCTTTGTACCGTGTTCCAAGGCAAACTAGAATCTGGAATTTGCCATCCTTCCCAATGCTCCTGGGTGCAGTATTAATAGCATTTACATAGCGGCAGAAGGTTTTGCAGGATGATTTCTGAATAAGGACACCATCTTCATTGTCTAGAATCTGGTCAGTGGTTTCAAAATAAGCAACTGCTCTCTCTGGGGAAGGAAGTCAGAGTCACATCACAGAACACATCAACACTTCATAACAGAGAGGTTAAACACTTCATGGGGGAACAATATGCTCCTGGGAGTTTATTTTCTTATCTAGATTGCATTCTGGGAGGCTGGAAAGTGTACTGTCTTTAGAATAGCTTCATAAAATGGAAATTGGCAAAAAAAGAAAATAAAAATAGACTCCACTGTTAAGACAGGAATCTACTAGGAGCGAGCAGCAAGCACATGGTGGCCACTGAGAAGGTGCCCTCTGTTTTGGTTACACAAGAGCTGGCTAACACTTTGCAACAAAACTCTTGAAATGCAACTGAGTCAGTAACTCTGAGAAAAAGGTATGTGGGGCTGGCTGAGTGGCTCAGTTGGTTAAGAGCTCGCTCAAAGGTTTGAGCTCTGAGCAACAGCGGTTTGATTCCGGCCCAAGCTGAGCTGCCACTGAGCTGCCAATAGGTGGCAGGATGGCTCAGCTTAAAAAAAAAAAAAAAGTGTACACATATCAGAAGCAGGAGCAATAATATTCCAGGCATTCTAGAATGCCTACAATGCCTAGGCCCAGGGCCTAATCTGTCAACTTTCCTTTCTTTGTCCAAAAATTCTGTTACATGAAATCAACTACTTCACCTATTCCTTATTTACAAAACACAAAATGATTAATCAACCCTTTAAAGAAACTGGGAATTCTAGCAGAACTGCATACCAAAATAAAGATTACAAAGTTTAGCAAGCTAGAGCAGCACACTTCTATGGAACTTTCTGTGATGATGGAAACATTTACCTGTAAGGTCCAACTGGTAGTTACTAGTAGGGCCCCTGTGACTAAGGAAGTAAATTCTACATTTAAATTAAATCAATTTAAATTTATATAGCCACATGAGGCTAGTGGTTACCATATTGGACAGCACAGAGCTAGAGTAATCCGTTTAAAACGTGTTATTTCATGTCACCCCTTAGCTCCAAGCCTCCCAATGACTTCCCATTTCATTCAGGATACAGACCAAAGCCCTTCACATGGCCTAGATGGCACAACACAACCTGTCTCTGGCAGTAAATACCTGTCGCCCCCAACATCCTTTCTCCTCACTTTGCTTCCCTCACACGGATGGCTATTTCACCAAGGGGCCAGGCGCACTTCCACCTGGGGCACCTGCCCTGTGGTTCTCTCAGCCTGGAGTGCCTCCTCCCAGACACTACACGGCTCACTTCCTCACTTCCTTAAAGTCTTTGCTCAAATGTCACCTTGCCAACAAAGCCTATAATGACCCCATTTAAAAGGGCATTTGCCACTCCATTTCCTTTTACCTTGCTCTGTTTTTTCCAGATCAGTGATCACCTGCTAACACACCAGCTAAATTGCATATTTGTTATGTTTCTGTGTATTACGTGTCCTCCCCACCCAGACCAGAATGTAGGTTTTTGTGTTTGTTTACTTACATCTTGATGTATATCGGGAGCATCTAGAACAGTATTTAGAATACTGTGGATACTGTAAGTATTTGTTGACTGAATGAAAAGCAAGGGTGGTGCTTGTTTGATATTTATTTTTAAAAACATACTCCCTTATCATTATCTGTTATCTGCTCAATTCCTGGATCTTTGAGTTTTCTAAGAAACATTTCATTGACTGTACAATAACATACATCTGCTTTAATTTACCTATGAAGTCCCAGATGAAGACATTCTTGTGAAAGATGCGGGCAGATTTGAACCCATGGTGGAAAACTTGTTCCAGTGCTGCGACCAGGCCATTTTCTCCACAGAGCAACACCGTGAGGCTCCCTCTCTGTGGAACATAACACGTTGCCAAAGAACAATGTGAGGTGTCTATGTTTATGTCTGAGAAAAATACTAGAGAAAACAAGTGCATAGCACAGCTACGAAGCATGCTTTCTGCAGTTATTAGAGAGCTTACAAGTGAGATTTAAAACACCCTGTATTGCCTTATGTATCATGTATAAAAGAGGCTTTAAAATCTTACTCCACTAAGTTTTATAGCTCATCATACCTCTTTTTCAGGTTTGTGAAAATGTTTCACAATGTTGTTCACAGCTTCTCCAATTCCTTCTTGGATCTGTCCAGCATTGGGTTCTGAAAAATAAAAAACTGGCTGAATTCTCATACAAGGGAAATAAACCAGAGTCCTGTGGGGTATGAGCTGTGCCCATCTACGCAGGAAACAGTTCACCAGCGCAGGCTGGCTAGGCCAGGGGCTTGCCTCAGGCCCGTGCGGCCAAGTGAGAGACATCTTGGCACAATGGAAAAGAATCCAAGAGACCCCTAGGTTCAACTCCCAGCCTTTCCACTTGTCAGTAATCTATAGCATTGGTCAAATGTCTAACTGCCTTAGGGTAGGAATTTCCTCAACCTAAAATAGGGAAAAATGCATACCTCGTATATGGGTCACTGGGAAAACCGAATGAGACATTACGTGTAAATAACCTGGCATAGTGCCTGCCCCAAGTGCTGGCAAGTCCCCAGGATCTGAAAGTGAGGTGGGGAAGGCCCACAGCTTCATTCTCAGGTACCCCACTCCCTTATCCCACCTGGCTCCAAATTCCTTAGTGGGCACAGACCAAAGCTGCTGAGGCTCTGAATGGCTAACCTGGAATTTGTGTTTTTGCTGCTGTGTTTAAAATAAAGAAAAGATGCCAGGCCCACTGGGGCATCCCGCCTGAAGATCAGAATGCCTTCCTTTCCTGGCTAGTCAGTCCACGTGGGCACTGCTTCTTTCTCCAGCCAGCACTTGCTCATCTAGACTCTGGTCCTTGGGGGAGAGCTTGGTGGGCTGCATGGATGGGATCTAAACTGCCTTTGCCTCCCAAACCCCAAGAATGGCTTAAAAAAAAAAAGTGGCTAACAGGCTTAATCCAGAGATAGAAGTAGGTAACAAGAGAAAAAGTATACATTTGGTATAATCTTGTGGTGATTAACTATTATATCTAATTGACATAGCATACTGTAAAGGACAAACTATACATTCTAGTGTTTAAGAATCTCTGAATTCATTTTAGGAAAAACTCAAGTAAGTTTTTTATACATCAATGCATAAAAATTGTTAAAATAGAAACCTCTTATGATTGAAGCACTGATTCTGTGGCCTCTTTAGCTACCTAGTAGTTTTATTTTTACTTTTATAGCATTCTCTGAGTCTTTTTTCTTTTAAACATTAACATCTATTTTAAAAGCCTTTGTTCATTCCAAAAGAGCTCTGTACTGATCAGGAGTATATTGGAACTGATTTAAAACCTTTAGTTCTCTAAATATCACCTTGCACACACTGTAAGAAAATACCGTTACCCATCTCTGAGTTTCAGGTTATTTAAAATTTTCTGCTTATTGAGTAAGGAAAGAAAATACGACCAAAAGTGAAGGTAAGGCTTCTGAAAACAGGTATATCCCATGAAACTGGACTGATTCAGAAGTTGTAATAATTTGGATGGACTGAGCTGAAATCTACTTTTAAATTTTAAATTAGCGTAATTGCATACAATAAATTCAGCAATTTTAAGTGTGCCATTGGGTGAGTATTAATAGACATATGGTCATGTACCCATCACTACAATCAAAATACAGAAAATTTCCATCAACCCAGAAAGTTCCCCCGTGCCCCTTTCAGTCAATCCCGTTCCCCAGCTCCCAACCCCTGGCACCTGCTGATCTGCTTCCTATTGTTACTACATTGACTTTTGCAGAATTTAATATCAATGGAATCATATAGGACAGAGTCCTTCGTGTCTAGTTTATTTCGCTTAGCAGAACGCTTCAGAGACTCATCTATGTTGTTAGATGCATCAGCAGTGTGTTCATTTTTATATACTGCTGAGAAACATCCTGTTGACGAGACATACCATCACATGCTTGGTGGATACTAGGGTTGTGTCCATTCTGACTACTACGTACGAGGAAAGCTGCTACGAATATCAGAGGACCAGTCTTAGTGTAGGTACAGGTATTCATTTCCCCTGGGTAAACATCTAGGAGTGGGATGTTGGGTCAAATGGATGGGAAGCAGATGTATATTTTTAAAAGAAACTGCCAAACTGCTTTTCCTTTTGCATTCCCACTAGCAGTGTATGAGCTGCTCTCCATCCTCAACAATATATGGGGTTATCATCTTAAATTTTATCTCTGCTAGTGGGTGCGTGGTGTACAGTTTACTTTTGAATGCAGAAAGGATTTATGAATCAGGGGAATACTTTATGAAAGGATAAGAGGGCTTTTTAGATAATATTCTAATGGTGAATATATCGCCATGTGCTAACAAATGGACTGGGACTAATACTATGTAAGGAAACAACTTTGTTAGTGAACTAAGGACCTCTTAGGTACTTTTGTTACTCTACTTATGGCTATTGTCTATAGCTGAAATAAAACCACTTCATTGATAAACTTTTGTGATTTTTCACTAAATCATACTGCCTTTGCATTAGTTTTCTGTGGCTCCTGTGATAGATTACCACAAACTCATTGGCTTAAAACAACAGAAATTTGTTCTCTCACAGTTCTGAAGGCCAGAAGTCAGAAATCAGTATCCCAGGGCAAAAATCACTGTGTCAGCAGGGCCGCGCTCCTCTCAGAGGCTAGAGGAATATGCTTCTTGTCCCTTCAAGCTTCTGGTAGCTGCCAGCTTTCCTTGGCTGTGGCTGCATCACTCCATTTTGCTTCTGTCTTTGCACTGACTTCTCTGTGTGCGCCTGATCTCCCTTTGCTGCTCTCTTATAAGAATATGGGATTGCACTTAGCACGCCCCCCCATCCTCCCCCACTCCGGATAATACAGGATAATCTCTCCATCTGAAAATTCTTAATTTATCATATCTTTTTCCAAATAAGATAACATTTACAGCTCCTGGGGATTAGGATCTAATATCCTTGGGAGACATTACTCAGCCTACTAAAGCCTAAATTAATATAAATAGAAGTTCACTGTACTATTAAAAATGGCATGTGAACACAGTATCCTATCTATAGAACTTACTCTTTATAATACCTTGTTTCATCCTTTCTATAGAAAGTTGGGGGTGGGGAGAAGAAGTTTTAGAATCCCTCTTAGTATAAGGGGCTCTCGATAGCTAGAGGTGGCTATCTGGGAGTACTGTCATATATAACTGTCCTTGTTGCTCCTTTAGGTTTAATGATTCATATTTCCATGGCTTAATTGAAACAGAACATGCAGTTTTCATTTTAACATCTAAATTCTTTAGGCTTTTAATTATTTCTAATGCCTTGTCTTATTTTTTCTCTTTGTCTTTTCTCCCTCTTTTCTAAAGTCCCTCCTCCCAAATTAATTTTCCTCAGTTTCTTTCTTTTTAATCTTCCTACCAGAATTTATTAATGTGACAGTTTTCTGTGAAATGGCCACATGACATCTGCAACATTTGAGGCACTTTGGAAAATTAAAAAAACCAAAAAACAACCAGTACTAACTGGGGCTTTTTCCAGTTAGTGACGTGACACTCAGCCTCCTGGCTGTGGTGGGTGATTTCTGCTGGGGTGGAGTCCGACACTGCTTCACTAGATCCTCATCTGCGGCTGGTGCCATCAATTCTCCAATAAGAATTCTCTCCAGGCTCCCATCATCAATGCCCTTTCCCAGCCATCGACCACATGGGAACCTAGCAGGACAAAACCCAAAAAAACAAAATTTCTGAATTGCCAATCTTTTACTAGTTTTAATCAGAGTTTAAAAAATAGCATCATGGGTGAAGCCCATAATTTTTGTGTCTGTGGGTTGTTTCTTTCAATTATTAAAAATTTCAAACATATAGAAAAGTAGAGAGAATAGTATAATAGATATCCGTATTCTCACCACCTAGACTTAACGTTTTGCTGTATGCTTCATTTGTTGCTGAAGCATTTTAAAGTAAATCACACACCAGGACATTTCACTCCTAAAAACACTTCAGTATAAATCTTTAAAATATAAAGATATTCTCTCTTATATAGCCATACATTGTTATCACACCTAACCAAGTTAATTCTTTAATATTTTCTCATACATAGCCTATATTAAAATTTTGTGATTAGTTCTATAAAGAATATCTTCAAACTATAAATGAATGTGGGAGTTAAGTTACAGAAGAAAACAGGAGACTGTCCCCAAAGGGGAGTGCTGGCCTTAACCAGCAGATTCCAAAAGATCCTTTCTTCTCCCTGGCTTATTTTAAGCTTCTTTTTTCTTTCTTCCTTTCTTAATCAGAGTTACATCAATTTTTTTCAAAACAATATGCAACACTTGTGGACTAAGCATTAGCAGCAAATACAATCAGTTTTTCTAAAGACTTTTTGGGGCAATTTTGTATTATATCAACAAAAACAAAACAACCCAAAAAACTAAGCTAAAATTCAGAAGGCAGTGGGAAGCTTTAGAAAGAAAAAAATTCTTAAATGTTTTCTTGTCTCAAGTGTCTCAAACAAAGAATTCTGAGCTCCCAAGGACATTTACTTACCGGTATGTATGTCCTGTGATTTCATTTCTGACCATGACACAGTCCACCAGCCACTTGGCTAACAGTCCTGAGTTATCGTGACCGATCTGAACAGTGGTCAGCTTCCCCAGGTTCTGGCACTGCAGGGACAGGACCACGGGTTATTCAGTACCCGATCGCATCCCACTACCTCTCAGCTTTACCTGTGGTACTCTGGTTCTATCTAACTTAACTGCAGAGAACCCACTCTGCATACTGTGCCGGGCTAATGTGCTAGACAAATATATTCACACCTCACGAGACAGCACACAAATGGACATTAACTATCTAACGAGGAGGACTGCACAAGGTGCTAGAGATGGAAACAACTGCTAGGAGAACCCCGGGGAGGGAACACTTATTTCTAACTGGGGAACCCAGAGACATCACACAGACAATGATTTGTGCCTTAAAGGATGAGAAGAATTTCAAGAAGTGGGAAAAGGATGCTATTTGGGTTCAGAGAGGTCAGAAAAACAACTATAGATGCAAAAAAAAAAAAAATCACTGACATGGTTATTTTTCTGTTTCTAATAAAATACTAAGGCAGAAGTGACCTCAAACCTCATCCATTAGAAGTCTTTGAAGCTACCATAAAACAAAAAGCATAGTTAATCGACATCCTTCCTGGCTCTTTATGAACAACTACAAAAGGAAGCGATGATAATAGGAATAGCAAAAATAAATATCCATTAAATTCTGACTTTTAAATTTTGAAAAAGGATCCCAGACCCCAAATGACTGTGTGAGGTTGGGAACATCAGAGCTGTGCGTTCTGAAAGCCCTTGCCTTCTCTGTATGGCAGTGAGAAGGCATCACAGTGACCAGGGGACGGAGGACGGCCTTGTCAATTAGTTGTGGCTGCAGCATGGGGAGACGTGGGCAGACTGCGAGTTGGGAAACGCGAGTTGGGACCTAAAATGCAGTTTATATCCCATACTTGGTAGTCAAAGAAAAGCCCAGGGTTTTAATCTTTTATATACAGATGGCTACAAATTCACTGGATAGGCCAAAATGGGCTCTTGGGGGGTGTTATGACTCTGAATGGAAAGTGCTAGTCTTAGATTGCAGGGAACATGAGAACAGGATGTTCAGTTAGTACCACTTCCCTCCTGAAACAAGAGCAGGTATTGTCTGTGTCCTGCATGCCAGGATCAACCTGCGTGTGGACTCAAACATATGGGAATACTTCACCAGGTGAGACCTGAACTACAGCAGTGAAAGGTATTTTTACAAAATCACTTTGTAAATGTCCCCATGTGGTCTAAAAGCCATAAGCATGGATGTCAGCTCTCCTGTCCTTTTGTCCAGGTTCAGGCAGGGAGCATTTTACAGTAAGGAAGAGAACCACTGTGGGGAAAGCATTTAGTGCTAAGGCACTGGGGATCATGGGACAGGACCTGGCAAAGCCCCACAGTGCACCATTACAAGCAGAAAAATAGAGCTTAGCAATTAAAATAATGACAATAAAAATACAAAACAAATGAGCGTGTTTAAGACAACTTTAGAGATGTGATCACAAAAATGATCCTGCATGCGTGAGTATTCCCTATCCTGTCTGACGCAAGGCAAAGAGAAAAAGTGAAACTGGAACCCTTGTGTAAAACTGCACAGCAGTTCCTGTTAAGAAAGGTATCAGCTGGACCTACCTCAAAAGTCATTTCGAGGAGGTTTTTGAGAATCGGCATCACTCCCGTGTCTCCTAGCTCCCCCGACACACAGATCCAGGGGTTCGATGTGATGATTGCATTGCTCAGCTTTTTGATGGGGATGATGACTGACCTATATGGAATCACTGAAAGAAAATGGCTGAAATTAATTAAAAATTACAATAAAATTCCCTTGATAACAAAACAAATATGTATTAAGAATTCAGTTGGCTTTCACAGATAATTCACTTTTTACAATCTATCAAGATGTACGTAAACAAAAAGATGAGGTCATAACCTCTCCCAGTTTAGAAAGGTGAGGTCCAGTTTATAAGCCATAAGTCCTAATATAATACCTACGGTGGTTTCCCCGGCGTATCCATCACCATGTATGCATGGCATGCGTATCACCATGGTGATATGCATCACTGCTACATTTATAAACAATCTCAGGAATCAGCACCAGGTATTCACCTGAGGACATGAACACTGTCGGTGCTATATAGTATTTTTATTGCTTTAATGTTTTTATTAACTCTGTTCCAAAATCGAGTACAAATGAGCATGGTTCCTGGCATGGTTTCATATGAAAAAGGGGGTGGATGACTTCTTGGATAGGATCCCCTTGCTGCTGATTTTCTTGGGCACTGCTTGAAAGCACTGCACTTCAGAGCTTTCCCATTCGAATTTTACAGCTCAATATGCACAGCCAAGAGTACTAAACAATGGCACCAGCGTTCTGGATATAACATACAGTCTATAAGCCACAACTTGGAAAGCTATTGAGATGACTCACAGAGGGGCCTGAGGAAAAGAATCAAGAGGTGCAAAGAGCTGTGGGAAACCTTTTTTGCAAGCTGTTCAAAAGGCACACCACTAGATGTCACTGTCCTACCACTGTCTTCTGCTCAAATGTAGCAACACAATCAAGTTAGACATTACGACACTCCCATCATTTTCCTTTAAAAAATGGAGATGGCTGAAACACATTAGCACATTTTTATCCTTCAGAGCCACGCTTTCTTGTTTTTTAAGCAGGGTAGAATTAATATTTTTTGTTTTAATTCTTGGGATTTCTTCTCATTCACAAGAGGGTGTATTAGAAGCTCTCCTTGAAAGAACTACACGTAGGATGAAAAACATTTTACTAGACAAGGTTCCCAGATACAGCCTTACAATATGGGCTTATGGTTCAATGCGTTCTTACGATGAGGAAAAGCAAGGGGATAAATGGTTTATTTCCTCAATTTTACATAAATCACTTTCTTTCTGTTGGGTGAATAACCTCCCTTTCTGTCCTCTGACTTTGGCTGAAGGAAAGGAAAAAGTCAGAGTAAAGGCCATAGTTTCATGGTTTAGTAATCACCAGAGTCAAATGGCTTTTGAAACTGAAAGCAGAAGAGGTTAGAGCTAGACTATTTTAGGTGCCACAGGCTTCTCTCATTTGAATCTTTCACTGACAGGATTAGAAAAGCTGATGAAAAAGACCTATTAAGGTCAGCAGTTCTGTGGCTGTAAAGGGCCCGGAGATGCGTGGCAGTTACTCAATAAAGTAGAAAAAGAGTAATATTATTTAAACTCAGAATAGCTCTTTCACGAAGCATCTCAGTTCCTCATATTGAAAGTTTCTCAGATGAAGAGAAATCTGCAGATATAAGGAGGATCTTGGAGAGTCCTAACTACCCCTACTGCTATTCTCTTTCAAAACTGTAAATAACATCTTATCTTCTTATACTTTCAGTAGCCTAATAAACTAATAGTAGCCTGATGGATATTATAGGTTGGCCCAATTTACCATTCCAATTCCATTTTCCCTTGTTTGTCTCTACCAGAGAATAGAAAAACCAAAAAAGCAACACAATTCTGGCCAATGAAATGTTAGTGATGTTTATTTTGATTTCTCAAAATATTATGCTTTTCTAGCAGATTTTGTTTTGTTTTGTTTTGTTTTTTGGTTTTTTTTTAGCTGAGCCATCCTGCTACCTGTTGGCAGCTCAGCGGCAACTCAGCTCGGGCCGGGCATCGAACCACTGTTGCTCAGAACTTGCACTCTTGCGCGAGCTCTTAACCAACTGAGCCACTCGGCCGGCCCTTCTAGCAGATTTTTACCCTTTTTCCTTCTTCCTGCTGGAAGGTGGATTGACAATAATCATCTTGTAACCATGAGGTCATTAGGACATAGTGGGGATTGTCTAGGAGCAGAGGGATAAACAGCCTACGTCCATGATGGCACTATGGACTGCCTACCTCAAGACTTCTCATTATGTAACAAAAATAAAATGACCAATTTGTTTAAACCACTGTTTTTTAAGTTTCTGATACTTGCGGCTGAATACAACTTCAAACTGATACAAGTAAAAATTCTCTAAAGTAGGGAAGGGGACCCATTGCAAATAAGATTTAGTAATGAACAGAATAAATGCTGTAATTCAGCTTATCCAAAACACGTCTCTAATCAGTATTTTCTTCCTCTGCAGACCTACGACGTCTGTCAAGATCCTCAAGTCCTTCTGAATCACCAAAGTTTAGCAATGTTCACTTGTAGCAGTTTATTATCATATACTCATTCTTTGAATTTATGTGTGTTGGATAAGATATAAGAATATTTGGTTAATAACACATTCCTTTTCACATCCATCCCATTTCCTATTGCAGATTGGGTTTCCTGGGAAGCAGACTCCGAGTCAGAAATTAGCATTCAGAATGCTGCTTCTGGGATCAACACGTGAGGAAGAAAGCAGGAAGGGACAAGTTGAGCTGTGATGCAGTCACAATGAAGTCCTCAGCTGATCGGATGGTGAGTTCTGAGACAGTCCTTGGACCAGTCACAGGAGGCTGGCCGGCCCCGGCAGGAGGGCTCACCTGGGTCAGGTAGCTTTCTTTGGTGAGGCACTCCCCACAGGGCTGAGAGCTGAGGGCGGTCTTCCAGCAGCAGCTGGAGCATAACCTTCATTCCTGAAGGGCGATGGGGGAAGGGGGCATCACAGTGTCTATCTCACTGTACTATGGTATGGCTCACTTTGAAAAATATGAACTGTTGTTCCATTAGTCACTTAACAGTCAATTCTGCAGACTTACTGATAGTGGTGAACACGCTGGTGAAGCAGAAATAGTCCACAGCATTGAGGGAAAGAAGGTGGTAAAGAAACTGTTCTCTTTCTTCTTCACAACGTAGAAAGGCGTACCGCTTATAAAGCTTTCTAGGAAAGGGTAAGACAAGCACAAATCAATAGTATAGTATAGGTTTCACTCTGTCTTCCATTAAAAGTAAAAACTTCCACTTAGACAATCTATGGGTAGAAACTGTAATCTGAAAAGAATAGACAATTTACAAAAACGAACAATGGATAGTTAACAGTATATTTTTAATCTAGTTAGCAAATAAAGGGAAAAAACTCCACGAGTCCATTTTGTCTATCAAACTAATAAAAATTTAAAAATGATGACCAGTGCTGACTAGGAGGAAAAAGTAGTAAATAGCAATTCTGATAGTGGAATGAAAACTTCAGGAAAGCAATTTGTTGGTGATATTCATTTTAAACCAGTCATACGCTTTGACTCAGTAATTTATACAAGACTAGCCATCGTGCGGTCATGAGGTGATTAACACACACTGAGGACAGTCCAGGAGGAGAGGGACAAAGAGCCTGCATCAACGACGGCACGCACTGCAGACTGCCTACCTCGAGACTTCTCACTACGTAAGAAAAATAAAACCAGTTTGTGAGCTTATGCAATTTGCTTTTCTAAGCACACAGGTCATAGAAACAGAAATGCCTCAAGAGGCAAGCTCTTACTTGGTGAGAGGTTGGTTAGAGAGTAGCTGCTTGAGATGCTGGGACAAGAGTTTCTTTTCTAGAGACAATCGTATCCATGCCCGAGCTCGTCCAACATCAGTCTTGATCTCACTCATGTTTTGAATATGCCTAAAGAATAGCAGCAATAGCAAAGATGTGAATCCTAAGAATAACCTTAAACTGGAAAAGAACTAGAGGTTACAGCACTTTGCAAAAGGTAATACAATATTTATGTTGATTAAACCTTAAAGGTTCGTTCTGAATCATGAATTTAGTCCCACATCAGAATTACCATTACAACACAAGCACACAGACAACATGCTAAGATGATGCATTTAACACTCATTTATTCTTTCAAGTCTTATGTTCTTGTTTCAGCCTCATAGATAACTAAGCTGGCACTTGGTTATTCCTGACCCCCAGGAAAATAAAATAAACAGGCAAAATATTCAAGTTTTTATTCCAAATGATTGTTCTATAGTTTAAATATCTGCCACAACTTTAATCCACTGAATCATTCTCAAGTAGCCCTGGACAACACATGGAAAATATGAAATCTTACTTTCTGTAGCATTAGAAGACAAGCTGTACCACACTGATAAATTCAAAATCCTTAAAAATTTGAAAGACTTGGAAAACTGTGGCTACAAAACAAATAAACAAACGAACAACCTGTGTGGTCAAACCCCAACTGAATGTTCCATATATGTGTAAATTAGTATTCTCTGTAGAAGTCACTGCTATGCCCAGCGGGACTAACTTCATCTTCCTCAATTATTTTCTTCCCAAGGGGGAGAAGGATCGGGCAGGAGGGGCTAGCCTGAAGGAGGGGTAGCCATAAAAGCTACGGAGTCACTGCAGCAAGTCACTGAAGCCTGTGACTGTGACCCACCATCCCTTCCTTTGATTTTTTTTTTATGTCTAAAATGACTCATCCTAGCTGTAATAAATATTGCAGCGGACACTTTGTTCTGATGATTCTAAGTATTCACAATAAGGAACAGCCTCCCTGAAGCACACACGCATTATTCTCCCTCTCTTCCTTTCTGCTTTCCTCCTTCCCTTTCTTTCAATCCCTAGATCTGAGAATTTAAGCCCTCAATCCTCAGTGCTGATTTATGATCAAACACTGTTGATACAAAACAAGATGTAAAGCATTATATCACATCACACAGACACACTAACGAGGGGGCATACGAACAAGTCAGAATGAGGAGATACAAGAAAATGCTGTTGCCGTTTGTGTGGGGCTTAGCCAACCTCATCTCACCTCTAAGAATTTTTTTCAGAAATTATGAGACTAATTTTATTTTTAAAGTGCTAATATCGTTAAACATGGTCATGAGTGTAGAAAGCTGGTGTCAAGCAAGCCCTCCCCTTAGACCCTGGTTCTTACTGGTGGTGGTAGCAGTGGTGGGGCACTTGACAACCCAAGTGTGAGCCCATGAAACAGCACTGGCTGTTCCTCAGCCCTACTGACATTTCCCAAATTATGACACAGCTGACTAAAAGCAACAAGGGGGAAATGCTAAGGCATTTACCATGTTAAGCTCAACAGTATTTACATGGTACCCTTATGAGTGCAATGTCACACGATCCAGGAATACTAAAATGAATTCACTGAAAATAAACCTATGAGAGTGTTGGTAAGTACTTACATTGTATCTTTCCCTAAGTATTCTTCCTACTCTTAAACAGTAAAATCTACTGAAGTTATAGGCTGACCTTAAACAAGTATCTGGAGACATGGTAGGTGAAGAATGACAGAAAATAATTAATAAATTGAAAAGCAGTCTATGTTTAAGGAAAATGGGAAGGATTGGAATACATAAATTGAAACTGGTTTTATTTAGGTGGAAAATCATAGAAGCATTTGTGCTAGTTTTTCCTGACAGGAGGCAAGGGAGATGAGGCCGCCAGATGCTTCTCAAGCCTGTCTTGCTCACTGGCACGAGGGTCAGTACTCGGCCTAAAATATTGTCTCTTTAATGTAATTCTTTTGCTACAGAACCTTCTAGAGCCCACAGGATATATAGCCTGAACTGCTCACTCCCCCTCTGCCTCAACATTTCTTGCTATTGAAAGAAACTCCATTCCGAGCAGTTGACTTCTAAGACTCCGCGTTCCATTACTTGAAGTACTTACTCTCTTCCAGCTTCCCTATTTGATTCTGCTCATTTTTAAAATCCCAGCTTCTTCTGGAAAGCTTTCCTTGACCATGACAGCCTTCACCGACCTCTCCAATTTACGGAATTCTGCAGTCTAATTCACATTTATCATGCACTGCCTACTACTTTTACCGTTTTCTCTTGCTGTACATTTTTCTCAGCTTGACAAAAGCTCCCCGAGGACAAGGAGCCCGGTACTTCTTAGCAGCCTTACATCCTTCTTTGCACCCTATAAGGCCTAGCCTATGTTAGAGAAAACTCTGTTGCTTTGAATATCATGTGTACAGTAAAGCAGGAAAGGAAGGGAAGAGAAAGGAGGCGTGAAGCAGCAGATGTGAACGGAGAAGCAGAGACCACTTGCTTCTTGTGAGACAGAGAGAGTAACCTGTGACGAGACTGTTTCCAACTCAGCTGCCACAATTCTTATGCTTGGATTCTGGAAACTCCCTTTATGTAATCTCCAATAAATCCCCCTTTTTGCTAAAGCCAGTTTGAATGGGCTTCTGTTCCCTAAAACGGAATGATTTCTGAGAGTGGCAGCACCTAAATAAATTTGAATCCATATTTCCTGAGTCCAAACCTGGTTCTTATTTCATTGTATCACCAATGAAACCCAATAATATTTATTAGAGAAATAAAAGAATTAGCCAATTTTAGTATAAGCTTATATACTATACAGTCATAAAAATTCTTCAAAGTATTCCTTCCCAGGGAAAACAAAATCAATCATGACTACTTAATTTTAGTGTAGAATAAAGCCAGCTACTCATAAGCACGTATGTACACATTATTTAGAAAAAGACAAAGTGACTCACCAACTTACCCTCAAGTAATTTATTTTCATTGTTATATGTAAACAGAATATTTCTAGGATTTACTCAGACATCCTGTTCATTTGTTCACATATTCAGAATATCTATACTTGGATTATAGAACTCACAATCTCCTAGGACTATATAATGTTCTACTCTGCCCATCATCATTAATTATATTTGACAAAATGATGTTAAGAATAAAAGTCTCAATTGCTAGATGATAAGTGCATAGCTACTCTAGAAAGAAACTGGTAATAACAGTAATGCCATGATAATACTCCTCTGTTATATGTAGATAACCTGTACAGATATTTACTGTCCCCAGCCTTTCTCTTTGGAACAAAAAAGTTCTATAACTGACAGTTTGGTGATATTGGCAATTATGCAGGTCTTGGGAAGTCGTTGAGACACAAAGACAAAGTGGACAGCCTTTAGACATGTCTGTCCTGGACTCATTACAGCTGCTGAGCCTTCTAGTGCCAAGACTCTCGACAACTGAGCACTCCAAGTCCCGACACTGCCAATGGCTTTGCCTCAAGAGATAAACTTGGGAAGATGTGAGGTACTGACAGAGGCATGGGCCCAGCAGAGGGCATGGACTCAAAGGGGTATACTACTTAATCTTTAGAAAGTAAGTTTTCTATTTAATTGTCCAGATCCAAAGAAATCAAATTTAGAATATGACTTGCGAGCTTTCTTTAAGGAAAAGCATGTACATCAACTATCTAGGCAGCAATTAGGGACTATAATGGAGAACTGGCCAGGAATTTGGAAATAGGGAAATAAGCCTGTCCACTGAAGAGTTCAACTCTGAAGTAAACATATCATGAATAAGAACAATACATAAAAAGTCATCTTCAAAAGGAAGAATGAAGCAGAGAAAAGAGGGCGCCAACCATGGGCAGTGTTTCTGCGGGGCTTTCCTGAGGTGACATCAGTCCCATGAGCACGAGGGTCACTAGGTTGGAGCTGGATGGTCAGGCTTCCATTTATCTGCTTTTTTATTTTAACCTAGCTTTCAGGCAGAACCTACCCATATCAGTGAAAGAATATCAAGTCATCTGGTTAGGGAAGTAATAAATTGGTTTCCCTGGCTTCCTGTGACCCCGCCCTTACCTGGTCATAGATGGCTAGACAAGAGTGGACAGTTGATACAAATCCAGCCCATTATTTTTCCATCTCTTTTAGGTATTTGAAGTAAATCTCTAGATTAGTAAGAGTATCTTAGTGAGTCTGATTACATTTTGGTTTACTAATGGTTTTGTTTCTGAGCTTATAAAGCTGAAGACTCTAACATATGGTCTGTGAAGAGCTATGGCTATGTATGCCTTAAGAAACTGGGAAGCCATACTCATTAGGATGGGTATTGTAAAAAAAATAAAAATAAAAAAATAACAAAACCTAGAAAATAACAAGTGTTGGTGAGGATGTGGAAAAATTGGTGCACTTGTGCATTGCTTGTGGGAATGTAAAACGGCGCAGCCACTGGTGGAAAACAGTATGGTGGTTCCTCCAAAAATTACACATAGAATTACTGTATGATAAAGCAATTCCATTTCTGGGTACATGCCCAAAGGAACTGAAAGCAGGGAATCAAACAGGTGTGTTTGTACACTCACACTCATAGCAGTATTATTCACAACAGCCAATGTCCACTGATGGATAAATGGATAAACAAAATGTGGTATATACATACAATGGAATATTATTCAACCTTAAAAAGGAAGGAAATTCTGATACATGCTATAACACAGATGAACCTCAATAACTTTATGCTAAGTGAAATAAACCAGAAGCAAAAGACCGTGATTCCACTTATATGAGGTTCCTAGAATAGTCAAATATAGGGAGCATAAATAACATAACCCAGGTGAGAAATTTTAGGGGTTAAGACAAGAGAGGTCACACAGCTCAGTGATCTAACATTCAACGGAATAGGTGAGCAGCAGTTGTACCAAGAATTGTACTTATCAACCCCTAGATAGTAAGCTATCTACCCCTGCATATCTATAATAATAACAGCAAAAAATACCTAAAAAATAACAGCACTTATACATTTACTTTGTACCAGGACTGATTAAAAATATGTATATTTTATTTTGAAATAATTTACTTACAAAAATGTTATAAAAGTAGTACAGGGTATTGTCTACTGAGCTTCCCCGATGTTAACATCTTATATAACCAAACTACGCTTTTTACGTTTCCATTAAGACAGCTGGAGATCATCTTTCCCTCATAGTTACAACTATTCCCCTTATGCTGACCATCAAAATGAATCATAAACCACATGAGGACAACTACGTTTCATCTACCAAGGAATAATGACATTTAAGATACAAATATCTAAACTGACTGAGATAAAAACCAACATTTACTGAACTCTTACTATAAGCCAAGTCTTCTTGAAACTTTTTACACTAATAACTAACTCAGTTAATTTTCATAACAGTCCTATAAGATAGGTAACTGTTTTTATCTCTACTTGAGAGATGGGAAATTGAGACAGAGAAGTTACAAATATTGCATAATGTCACTGCTGATAAGTGGTGAAGCCAGGATGTGTTACTACGACACTAAGCTGCCACTAATAAAAATTATTCTTTGCGGTTGCAAGTATCTGACAAATCAAATAAACATCAAATAATATTAATAAGCAATAAACCACAAAAGAACAATTAAAAGTGTTATAACGTTCATTTTAAACCCATATATTTTAAGAATTGACTAAGTATTGTACCTAAAATATTTTTTTTAAAAAGCCTGTGCCTTCCTCATTCAATAAATCTTTTTAGATATCCTGATACCTTCTAATGATTTCTAAGACCAGTAATTTCAAGTGATAACTCTCAGATTTGCATTTGCTTCAAATTAAATATACTTGACAGCAGTTTTTCTGCCAAGTAACCTGTCTTTATTTGCAGACTTTTTTGGTCTGTATCTATGGGCAGCAGGTATTTAAGGAGGTTTTAAAACACTGAACAAATGAAGTTGTAAAATAATTTAGGGATCCTTAAAAAGCTCCTCAGTGGCATTTGCCTCTTGGATTTAATGTCAGGAAAAATATAATTGTATAAGAGTAAAATAAACAAGATTATACAAATGTTTTCTTGAGACTACATAAACAAAAAGATACACAACACCTTAAATTCACTTTTATTGCTCATTTGAGCGATTTAAGTGAAAGCCATGAACGTTTCAAAGCTATCACCATATGCTAGCACACAGGACAAATACCTCATGTCTTGGATAAGGGAGACCCTGAGTGTTGGCAACATAACTCCTGAGTCAGATTTTCTTCTTTCTGGTCCCAGGGCAACTGAGTAGAAAAATATTGGCACAGTATTAGAAAAATAACAGTCAGGACAAAAACATTTACATAATTCACATTCTACAAATAAATACTTTGAAATTACTTTGATAAGAACACATTTTGAATACAACAATACAACAGGAAAGCTCAAATTCTTTTTCCCGAATGTTGCTACTTTATTAATACAGTAAACCAGCTATTTTCTTTCTAGTCAATCTGTGGCTGCATTTGTAAATTTAAAATGAATCATAAAAGCCCACTTAGCAAATAACGCAATGTGTCCAAATTTTGGCCATAAAGGCCAGTCATTTTCTAAAGTTATTCACTCTAATTGCACTGGATAATTACATGAAAGCAATGTCTATAAATTTAGCTACTAAGTATTTGAATCATTTCTGGGCTCATGAATTGCCATCACACAATTTCCCTATACAGCAGGTCTTTGACTAACATTGTTTTGTTATAACATTGATGAGATGCTTGTGGTAAAATTGGTTTCATTATGTGTCAGTTCCCTTAAAGTTGCCCAACCTATCGAGGATGTTAAGTAGGACTTACTCTACTCTGAAAGTGTTTAAAAAGGAAAAATCTAAGATTTTAAGCTTTCTAGTCTGGTTAAGTTTCTACTTCCAAGTTCAGAATCCAAACTACAGTATGTATATCATGCAAAGTGAGGAATCTGAACAGAAATATCAAAGTATAATGTGCATGAGTCTCTTATGAAACCTGAATAAATAACATTTACAAAAGAAGGAAAGGTTATTCTCTCACACAGCAATAGGTAAAACAATCAATTACTGGCTAATGTACTATAGTTAGAGTGCTCAATCTCACTTTAAGTGAGACGCTGTGGAGTTTTGTGCTCTTCCTTTATTTCTATTTTTCCATCTGCAAATGAAAACTATTAATAAATTGCATCACCACACTTAGCAAATACAGTTGATCCCTGAACAACATGGGGTTGAACTGTGCAGATCCACTTATACGTAGATTTTTTTCAGTAAATATATTGAAACATTTTTTGGAGATTTCCTTACTACTGAGAAGCAATCACACTGATGTCATTAGGCTACCATAAAGCAATCATATTGTTGCGTCTTTGTTATCAATGCATGAATCATTATATCTGTAAATACGTAAGTATGAATTTCTTTTTCACATTATCTTTTTGTTTTTGATGTCTAGTGTTAGTAATACGTGTAAACATCTACAGTGTTTTGTGTCATATAAGACAATATTGATGCGGATACTGACAGATGATTCATCTTGTAAACAAACGATATAAATTTAAGGCATCGATAAACACAATACAGTACTGTACATGTATTTTCCTTATGATTTTCTTAATAACATTTTCTTTTCTCTAGCTTACTTTATTTCAAGAATATGATATATAATACATATAACATACGAAATACGTGTTAATCAACTACTTTTGTTATTGGTAAGGCATCCCTCCCATCAACAGTAGGCTATTAGTTAAGTTTTTGGGGAGTCAAAAATTATACGTGAAGTTTTGACTGCATGGAGGGGGTTAGTGCCCATCCCCTGAGTTCTTAAGGGACAAACTGTATATTGGTGCTATTAGAATTTAGGATGTGGGTTTTGCTGTATATTAAACCCGTATTTTCTCAGTTTTTAGATCCATTCTACTTTGGGGGGCTAGGATGCAATACCAGAATACATATATGTAGTTGAAGCTGGGGCTGAAGGAAGACGGGGAACGTTTTGGTGTATTAGGGTCACATGTTTTGGCGCTTGGTGAAAGCAGCAGGGCTGGCACTTGGCAGGTATAAACGTGTACTACTGGGGCTGCCAGGACAAAGAAAAGGTGGCCAGGCCAACCTAAAGAAAGCTCTTTTGAGGGTCTTCCATACCAGGTGGGTGACAAATAGGCCATGTGTCACAGCAGTGTTGGGAGGGAGTTTTCAATGGGTCACTGAAATCACTGGTTCATCTTGATACCCAGGAGGTAAAAGACACTAGGAAATTGTTCCAGAGACTTGCAGGTAATGTGCTATGTTAGTCTTCCTGTCTGAGACTACCGCCACATAAGTGGGTTATTAATGAAGGTGCATCTCTCTTTTTGGAAAGTGAAATACCTCAGAGAATGCCTCTACACTCCAGATGATTAGACAGCGTGAAAGAGGGCCACATGAGCGACAAGAGAGAGGTTGAGAGAAGAAAAAAGAAAAGATCATGAGGCAGGAGAAAGGAACTGAAACTGTAATCAGCAACTTGGCTGGAGGGAGACATGACAAAAAAGAATTGTGCCTCTGGGAGCAGAGAACAGGTGAGAGACTTAATAAACGAGGCTGACATTTACAACAGCAACCACAATAAGCACATTCACAGGCCTAAGCATGTTCAGGAAATCCTATTTTGGGACCCTATATTCTAGCCACCCTTCTCTGATCAATGTTCCTTATACATGCGATGTACTTTTTCATGTCTCTATACAATTTACTAAAGTCTTTTGCTTATCCTTTAACACTTCTGTATCTTTCTTATTTATAGCCTACTTGTCACTTTAGATTGAGCGCAGTATAGCTTAATAGCTAAGAACATGGCTTTCTCAAATCCTACAGAGAATTTAACAGCTCACTGTCTTTGGGTAAGAGATTTAACCTGTCTATAGTCTGTTTCCTCATCTGCAAACTGGGAAAACACTAACAGTACCTACCTTATTCAAATAGATGTAAAGCACTTAGAATAGTGCCTGGCACAAAGTAAGCTCTCGGTAAATAAAATAAAATATAATATAGCTTTAATTTTTGTTGCTGTGTGAAATCTTTCCTGAATATTCTCTCTGCCCTAGGTACACTATTATTAGATGTTATTCCCTCTTGAACAGGACCTGTAAAACTGAACATCATAAACTTACCACAATTGAACATTTCTGTTTCTGTTACTCCTTTGAAACAATATGCCTCTTGAGGCTCGGTCATATCTTATTCTTAAAATACCCAGAGGGCCTACCAGGGGCCCCATACCACATATATGCTCAACAAATATTCATTGAAGAAGATGAGACTATTTAGGGCCAGAAGACAGAACCTTTAAAGACAAATTAGACATTTATGGAAATCCTAGGGAGCGGGTAGAGATTTTGCAAAGAAATGATATGCTGCTGATATGCTCCTGAGTATTTTTTAGTTAGTTAACTAGAGTGATAGAAATAAGAGAGATTAGCTAGGAGTTATTGCACAGGCCAGTGTGTGGATGAACTAAGACAGTGGCAACCAGTGAGAACAAAGAGGAGAAAATACAGGACTTAATGAGTGGATGTAAAGGGTAAGCAAGATTCACGTCAAAAACAATATTGAGTATGGATATAAATGTTTTAATACATATTAACTTATGTAATTATAACTTTCCTTTGACTTTTTAAAAATATTAATTTTGCAGATGAAGAAACTGAGATTCAAAGAGGTTAAGAAACCAGCCCAATTGCATATGTTCATTAAAGAGGGAAGAGTGTTCTGATGTCATGTCCAGTGGGTTTTCTGCTACATTATGGATGACTTTCTAGCTTCTAAGCTTGACTGCGAGAAGGGTGCTAATGCCATTAAATAAGATGAACAGAGAAAGCCTGATATGGACAGGAGAGAGGTGCTGAGATAATGAATCTGTTTTATGATATGTTGAGTCTGAGGTCCCAATGGACCATCAAAGATGGATGTCTAGGAACCAGGGCTGGAGATAGAGATTTGTGAATAATCTGCTAATGGAATAGTTGCATGATGACACCACAGTGGACAATACTCATTAGGGTTTTAATTATGTTCCCCAAGTAGCCCTATCCAATATGACTCATGTCCTTGCAAACAGAGAAAATTTGGACATAGAGACAGATGTGTGGAGAAAAGGTGATGTGAAAATACAGGGAAAATGGCATCTACAGGCCAAGCTACTCTTGAGACTATTAGAAGCTAGGAGTGGGGCATGGGACAGGTTCTCCTTCAAAACACTCAGAAGGAACCACCCCTGCTGACACTCTGGTTTTGGAATTCTAGCTTCCAGAGCTGTGAGACAATAAATTTCTCTTGTTTGAGCCACAGTTTGTGGTACTTTATTACAGCAGCCCCAGGAAACTAAGATAGTAATTTATTAGTGATGTTGGAGGGAACAGTTTAGAAGCTTATGAACAGAAGGCAGATAGGAGTTAAGGAGTGAAGCCATACTTTTAATTTAGAGATCTAAAAATCTAAGATCTCTACAAAGTTTATTCCAGAAGAGAAATTTATAAACTATTTAAATGTATACTCTTATTACTATTTAAATGTATACTCTTATTACTATTTCTTAGTTCAATATACTTAAATGCAATAGACAACAGGAATTCCCTTTATATATGTGCCTGAATCAATGCTACTGCACACATAGCCAGTTCGCAGAGGGTGAAGACTATATGTATTATTTTTATAGAACCATCTTATAGTCTATAGGCAGGTAAGTTAATTAATAGAAAACTTCTGATGAAGATGACTGAAGAGTGACCCAAAATTCTTGGGCTAGATCCAGAAAAACCACTTAAAAGCAGTATTTCCACCCTTTTCTGCATCCTACCCCACCCCTTGCCAATCAGTTTAAAAATCCATTTAAAGGGCCGGCCTAGTGGTGCATTGGTTAAGAGCTGGCATGGGCCCCCATTCGTATCCCACATATGAGGGCCAGTGACACTGCCCTCTACAGCTAAGATGCTGAACAACAGCTCAACCTGGAGCTGGGCTGCCATGAGTCACCGG